CAAATAGGAAACCCTAATTGGGTTGTACCCCCTATGGGATACCCCACTATAGCCTACACAAATATGTAAGCTATAATGTTCTGACACACCCCCATAGGCAAAGTGGGGAAGAACAAGGGGTCACAAGACCAGTCAAGCAAAGCAAAGCAAAGCTCAGGGTGGATCACAAAGTCACCACACATTCCGAGCACAAGTTCAAAGGCCACAAGGCCAGTTCACATGCAAGATCATATATAGAGATATACAAGAGTCAAGCAAGCAAGAACAAGAGTATATATAGGTGAAGGTACAAGCAAGGTCAAGAAGTGAGCAAGTGAGGCAAGACAGGCACAAGACCTAGCTGCGTGCAGCAACGCTGATGATCACAAGGCGCAAGTGCCTTGGTGAAGACATCAGCAGTGTTGGCCTCAGAGGCCACGTACGCAAGTCGCAACTGTCCACGCTGCTGCAGCTCACGAGCAAGAAAGTAGCGGAGAGCAATGTGCTTTGTCCTGTGCTCCAGTCGCTGCTCTCGACACAAGGCCAGCATGGCCTTGTTGTCTACGTACAGGACTGGAGGAGAACGAGGCGGCTCTCCAAGGTCGGTCAGCAGGTAGGTGAGCCAGCGTAACTCCTGTGCAGCCATAGCCCCGGCGTAGATCTCAGCCTCACAACTGGAGCCGAGAACAGAAGACGAGCGAGTAGCCCGCCACGAAACAGAGCCGGAACCAAGGCCGAAGGAGTAACCTTGTGACGACCGCTGCGTAGCCTGGTCGTCAGCCCAAGAAGCGTCCGCGTGCCCAGTGAGGACCACTGGACTGCGCCCTCCAAGCACTAGCCCCATGCCCGATGTACTGCACAAGTAGCGCAACACCCTCTTCGCTGCAGCCATGTGCTCTGGTCGGTGTCTCCCAAGAGCAACATAGCGTGCGAGAATGCTGAGAGGGTATGCAAGGTCAGGTCGTGTGCAGGTCATCAGGTACATGAGGCAGCCAACAAGCTCTGCATACGGGCCACTCGACTCTACGGACTCATCCGAAGGCAGAGCTGAGAGCGAGTGGCGAGTAGGCAGAGGAGTGGCCTGAGGCGAGGAGTACGTGAAGCCGAAGCGCTGAAGGACCTGCTGCACCATGTGTGACTGAGTCAGGGTAATGGTGCGGCGTGCTCTGTCCCGGGTGATCTGCAAGCCAAGGTAGCTGCGCAGTTCACCCAGGTCAGTGCACGTGTGTCTCTTCTGCAGCTCGGACTTCACGTAGGCGAGTCCACCAGTGTCCGCTGTGGCAAAGACCAAGTCGTCGACGTACACAAGGATGTAGAACGGCGGCAGAGAGGTGTCGGTGCGCAGAAAAAGCGACGGGTCGGCAGTAGAAGGAGCAAACCCAAGAGCCGCAAGCGTAGTCCTCAGTGTGTCGTGCCACTCACGTGGTGCCTGGCGGAGACCGTAGACTGGACGCCGGAGACTCCACTGGGTACCAGGAGGGAAAGACCCAGTGAAGCCAGGTGGGCGACGCAGCCAGATCTCCTCGTGCAGGCTGCCCTGCAAGAAAGCTGTGCTGAAGTCGAGAGAGTGCAGCTCGTAGTCGCGGTGAGCAGCAACGTGCAGCAGTACCCGAAGAGTGGTCATCTTCGGGGTGGGGGAGAAGGTCTGAAAGTAGTCAACTCCCTGCCGCTGACTGAAGCCACGAGCCACGTAACGCGCCTTGAAGACAGGCGGAGAGCCCGGCGGCCGCTTCACCCTGAAGATCCACATGCCACCGACGATGTTCGCCCCAGGAGGGGGAACAGCGTCAACGTAGGTGCCTGTGGACTTCCAGGAAGCCATCTCTGCATCCATAGCTGCCTGCCACTGAGAGGAGTAGGGACCCTCTATCGCCTCAGCGTAAGAGCGCGGAGTCGGGACGCGTCCCCTGGTTACAGTTGTCACTGACCCTTCCTTTGAGTCCACTGCTGCGTCTCCCTTAGTTGCTGAGCTTGTCGACTTTGCTGCTCGCTGTCGTCTAGACTACGCCGCTAGTCTTGTTGCTGAGTCTGAGTCTGTCTGTCCTCCGTCCGTCGGGGGTGAGTATGCTCTTACCACGGACGTCCTTGAGGACAGGCAGGAGGAGTTCTAGTGTTTTGCTGCTGCTTTGCCTCATCTCGTGCCCATGCTGATTGCCCCTGAGGGAGACCCGGATGCACCAGACATCCCGACTCCTCGATCGTACGCTGAGGCGATCGAGGGTCCCTACTCTCTCACAGTGGCAGTCAGCCATGGACGCAGAGATGGCTTCCTGGAAGTCCACACGCACCTACGTCGACGAAATTCCCCCACCTAGGGCGAACATCGTCAGTGGCATGTGGATTTTCAGGGTGAAGCGGCCGCCGGGCTCTCCGCCTGTCTTCAAGGCGTGTTACGTGGCTCGAGGCTTCAGTCAGCGGCAGGGAGTTGACTACTTTCAGACCTTCTCTCCCACCCCGAAGATGACCACTCTTCGGGTGCTGCTGCACATAGCCGCTCAGCGCGACTACGAGCTTCATTCTCTTGACTTCAGCACAACTTTCTTGCAGGGCAGCCTGCACGAGGAGATTTGGTTGCGCCGCCTCCCTGGCTTCACTAGGTCGTTTCCTCCTCGTACCCAGTCGAGCCTCCGGCGGCCAGTCTACGGTCTCCGCCAGGCGCCACGTGAGTGGCACGACACACTGAGGACTACACTTGCGGCTCTTGGGTTTGCTCCTTCTACTGCCGACCTGTCGTTGTTTCTGCGCACCGACACCTCTTTACCGCCGTTCTACATCCTCGTGTACGTCGACAACTTGGTCTTTGCCACTGCTGACACTGCTGGACTCGCCCACGTGAAGTCTGAGCTGCAAAAGAGACACACGTGCACAGACCTGGGTGAACTGCGTAGCTACCTTGGCTTGCAGATCACCCGGGACAGAGCACAGCGCACCATTACCCTGACTCAGTCACACATGGTGCAGCAGGTCCTTCAGCGCTTCGACTTCACGTACTCCTCGCCTCAGGCCACTCCTCTGTCTACTCGCCACTCGCTCTCAGCTCTGCCTTCGGATGAGTCCGTAGAGCCGAGTGGCCCGTATGCAGAGCTTGTTGGCTGCCTCATGTACCTGATGACCTGCACACGACCTGACCTTGCATACCCTCTTAGCATCTTGGCACGCTATGTTGCTCCTGGGAGACACCGACCAGAGCACATGGCTGCAGCGAAGAGGGTGTTGCACTACTTGTGCAGTACGTCAGGCATGGGGCTAGTGCTTGGAGGGCGGCGTTCAGTGGTCCTCACCGGTCATCAGACGCTTCTTGGGCCGACGACCAGGCTACGCAGCGGTCGTCACAGGGTTACACCTTCAGTCTTTGTTCCGGCTCTGTTTCGTGGCGGTCCACCCGCTCGTCTTCTGTTCTCGGCTCCAAGTGTGAGGCTGAGATCTACGCGGGGGCCATGGCTGCACAGGAGCTATGCTGGCTCACATACCTGCTGACCGACCTGGGAGAGCCGCCTCGTTCTGCTCCAGTTCTGTACGTAGACAACAAGGCCATGCTGGCCTTGTGTCGGGAGCACAGACTGGAGCACACAACGAAGCACATTGCTCTTCGTTACTTCCTTGCTCGTGAGCTGCAGCAGCGTGGTCAGCTGCGCCTTGCTTACGTGGCCTCTCAGGCCAACACTGCTGATATTTTTACCAAGGCACTTCCGCCTTGTGATCATCAGCGCTGCTCTACGATGCTAGGTCTTGTGCCTACTTGGCCTCACTTGCTCAGTTCTTGACCTTGCTTGTACTGTGATCTATCTATACCTGCACTTGCTTGTTTACCTTTATATATGATCTTGCATGTGAACTGGCCTTGTGGCCTTGAACTTGTGCTCGGAATGTGTGGTGACGTTGTGATCCACCCTGAGCTTGCTTTGCTTTTCTTGACTAGTCTTGTGACCTCTTGTTCTCCCCCACTTTGTCTATGGGGTGTGTCAAACTTATATGCTATAGTCTGTGTAGGCTGTCGTGGGGTAGACAATATGGGGTACAACACTTTTAGGTTTTCCTACTTGTACCCACCTGTTTCCCAGTGCATTCACTTCCTCGTTCTTTCACAGCAAATGGCCAAGTTTCTTGAAGAAGAAACGGTGAGCATAGACTCTAAGACAACATATCAAACTTTCAACATGTGGTGGAAAGTGCATGGTGCACGATTCCCCATTGTTGCAAAGATGGCACACCACTACCTTGCAATTCTGGCAACTTCCGCCGAATCGGAACGCACCTTCTCCACTGCACGTCGTCTCATCACCGGTTATCTTCATTGCCTTGATCCGTGTCTTGTGTCATGATTTGAGCTCACATGCATGGAGTGGTAGTTTAGTATTTGTTATTGAGGATATGTGCTTGTTGTTGTATGCTATGCTAAGTGCAACACAAGTGTAGTTGTATAACAGGATTGAATGTAGCAAAAAAAAAAAGGCATACCAAGTTTATAAGGTCGTACTCGATACTCGACTCGTATTCGAACGTATTCGGCAACATTCAACCCGTATTCGACTCGTATAAAACGATGGTATTCGATCAAATACTTTCTCTACAACGCTAAATATTCGTCAAAGTTACTCGTCGACTCGGTTATTCGTTTTTCACCCTTTACCTAAGGCTAATGAGAGGTCATGGCGGGCCCTCACCTTTTGTGGTTGGGTTGTTGTTGAGTGAGTTGTGTTTTGGTACACAAACTCCACTGTGGTCCCTACAAGTTCCCAAACCTGTTTCCTTCACGCACTACTGGCAGGGGGAACACCTAGTCACTCTCTGCAGTGGTGAACATTTCTTTCTGGAAAAACGCTTAGCCAGAAACATGTGCCCCCTGAAAACCGTCCATTGGGAAAGTTGCTATGAAGATCAAACATTCCGTTGCCGGGACTTGAACCCGGGTCTCTCGGGTGAGAGCCGAGTATCCTAACCGACTAGACTACAACGGATGTCACCAACTTTTGACACAAAAATAATGACCTATGTGTTTTTCTGCAATTCTGCCGCTCACGATGACGTTTTCCCATGCGGTTGTGATGACGTCGTCTCTCTCCGTCGCCCTGCACGGGGGCGGTCGCGTGCTCAGCATTCAGTCACATACCGTCCAGGTATCCGTTGCATGCAGTCGTACACTGCCCAGGTATCCTTCGCATTCTGTCGCAGACCGTGTTGGTCACCGTCGCATTCACCTGCCCTCACAGTCCAGATAGCAAACGATACCGACGTCGTTACTCTACCCCGGCGTAGGCAATGCAAAGCAGCGTTTTTACGTTACGTAGGGTAACCCTACGGTAGCCAAAGCAACCGCCGGTGGCCGAGAGTCCCTCTCAGGTGTCTCTCAGACGCCCCTCTCAAGTGACTCTCAGGTTACCCTCTCAGGTGTCTCTCAGGTGCCCATCTCAGGTGTCCATCTCGGGTGCCCCTTTCAGGTGCCCCACTCAGGTGTTTCTCAGGCGCCCATCTCAGGTGTTTCTCAGGCGCCCCTCTCAGGTATTTTCTCAGGGGGTCCCTCTCAGGCTTCTCTCAGCTGTTCCTTTCAGCTGCCCCTCTCAGGTGTCTCTCAGGTTCCCCTCTCAGGTGCCCATCCCAGGTGTCTCTCCAATGTCTCTCAGGTGCTTGCTTAGTACGACCATGCGAAGTCTGGTATGAAGCTCTGAGTGTCTCGGTCATGCATCAAGTGTAATGAAGCATGGGCTCATGCGAACGCGTGTGTGATGGCGTGTGTCTGCATTGAGTGTATGAGTGTATGTATATACATGCATACATATATCTATCTATATACATATTTATATTTATACATCTATGTGTTTAAACCCTGACACTTCGGTCACATATCTATATTGCTTCGTACCCGGTCCATGCGTCAGAACTATGTGGGTGGGCAGCAAGGTGGCCAGGTTCCCCCGGCAGCTGCTCCTGATGTTGCAGGGTGTTTTTGAGAATTCTCAAAAACTCCATGCGTCAGAGCTATGTGGGTGGGTAGCAATGTGGCCGTGTTCCCCCAGCCCGGCAGCTGCTCCTGCTGGGAAGCGAATGGCATGCTTTGCTTACCATCCAAGGCGCCTGTGTTTCCCTTGCCCGTGCTCCGGAGTTCTCTAGAGAAACCCCAATGTATGTGGGCAACAAGGTGGCCGCGTTCCCCCCTGCAGCTGCTCTGCTCCTAATGGCGTGCTCATGGCCCCACAGAAAACCTGAGAGAAACCCTGAGAGAAACCCTAAACCCAGTGTACCCCTGTTGCCTGCCCATGCGGTAGGGCTATGTGGGCCACAAGGCGGCCTTGTTCCTCCTGCAGCTGCTCTGATCCGAATGGCGTTCCCATGTTGGAACAGAAAACCCAACAGAGACACCTAAAGAAACTCCAACCCCAAACCCCTTGTACCCTGTTGGCTATGCGTGAATGCACCAGGGGTATGTGGGCAACAAGGCGGCGGTCTTCCCCCTGCAACTGCTGGGCTTCGATGTGGACCCCATCAATTCTGTGCAACTCTCCAACCACACTGGTGCGCATGTTGGTAACCACACTGGTGCGCATGTTGGTAACCACACTGGTGCGCATGTTGGTAACCACACTGGTGCGCATGTTGGTAACCACACTGGTGCGCATGTTGGTAACCACACTGGTGCGCATGTTGGTAACCACACTGGTGCGCATGTTGGTAACCACACTGGTGCGAATGTTGGTAACCAACCACACTGGTGCGCATGTTGGTAACCGCACTGGTGCGAATGTTGGTAACCGCACTGGTGCCAATAGTGGTAACGGCACTGGTGCGGGACCGGCGGTTGTCCATCCCATCTGGGTGCGTGCCTGCTGCCCCAGGGTCCATCACTCCTCCCACCTCACCACATGCCCCATGCATCTGTCCCATTCGTGCTGCTGCTGCAGGGTACCCCACGTGGAAGGGGCAGACACTGGACGGAGAGCAGTGCAGGTGTGGTTGGTGACAGAGGGGCACACCTCATGTGACTCGCACCATGCCCCCATGCACCCCACCCATCCCATCCATTCCCCAGGCTACCCCACGTAGAAGGGGCGGATACTGCCCCACGTGGAAGGGGAGGATACTGCCCCACGTGGAAGGGGCGGATACTGTACGAGGAGCAGCTGTGGGCAGTGAGAGAGGCGCATGCCTCATGCGGCTCCCAGCATGCCCCATGCATCGCTCCCATCCCGTGTGTGCAGGCTAGCCCACGTGGAAGGGGCAGATACTGAGTGGGGAGCAGCTGTGGGCGCTGATAGAGGGGCTGGGTTAGCGCCTGTGCATCCTGAGCCTTGGAGCAGCAGCCTGGGTGCGTGCTGGGTGCATGCACCCTCAAGCAGCCTGGGTGCGTGCTGGGTGGATGCACCCTCTAGCAGCCTGGGTGCGTGCTGGGTGCATGCACCCTCTAGCAGCCTGGGTGCGTGCTGGGTGCATGCACCCTCTAGCAGCCTGGGTGCGTGCTGGGTGCATGCACCCTCTAGCAGCCTGGGTGCGTGCTGGGTGCATGCATGCACCCTCTAGCAGCCTGGGTGCGTGCTGGGTGCATGCACCGTCTAGCAGCCTGGGTGCGTGCTGGGTGCATGCACCCTCTAGCAGCCTGGGTGCGTGCTGGGTGCATGCACCCTCTAGCAGCCTGGGTGCGTGCTGGGTGCATGCACCCTCTAGCAGCCTGGGTGCGTGCTGGGTGGATGCACCCTCTAGCAGCCTGGGTGCGTGCTGGGTGCATGCACCCTCTAGCAGCCTGGGTGCGTGCTGGGTGCATGCACCCTCTAGCAGCCTGGGTGCGTGCTGGGTGCATGCACCCTCTAGCAGCCTGGGTGCGTGCTGGGTGCATGCATGCACCCTCTAGCAGCCTGGGTGCGTGCTGGGTGCATGCACCCTCAAGCAGCCTGGGTGCGTGCTGGGTGCATGCACCCTCTAGCAGCCTGGGTGCGTGCTGGGTGCATGCACCCTCTAGCAGCCCGGGTGCGTGCTGGGTGCATGCACCCTCTAGCAGCCTGGGTGCGTGCTGGGTGCATGCACCCTCTAGCAGCCTGGGTGCGTGCTGGGTGCATGCACCCTCTAGCAGCCTGGGTGCGTGCTGGGTGCATGCATGCACCCTCTAGCAGCCTGGGTGCGTGCTGGGTGCATGCACCCTCTAGCAGCCTGGGTGCGTGCTGGGTGCATGCATGCACCCTCTAGCAGCCTGGGTGCGTGCTGGGTGCATGTACCCTCTAGCAGCCTGGGTTCGTGCTGGGTGCATGCACCCTCTAGCAGCCTGGGTGCGTGCTAGGTGCATGCACCCTCTAGCAGCCTGGGTGCGTGCTGGTGCATGCACCCTCTAGCAGCCTGGGTGCGTGCTGGGTGCATGCACCCTCTAGCAGCCTGGGTGCGTGCTGGGTGCATGCACCCTCTAGCAGCCTGGGTGCATGCTGGGCGCATGCACCCTCTAGCAGCCTGGGTGCGTGCTGGGTGCATGCATGCACCCTCTAGCAGCCTGGGTGCGTGCTGGGTGCATGCACCCTCTAGCAGCCTGGGTGCGTGCTGGGTGCATGCACCCTCTAGCAGCCTGGGTGCGTGCTGGGTGCATGCACCCTCTAGCAGCCTGGGTGCGTGCTGGGTGCATGCACCCTCTAGCAGCCTGGGTGCATGCTGGGTGCATGCACCCTCTAGCAGCCTGGGTGTGTGCTGGGTGCATGCACCCTCTAGCAGCCTGGGTGCGTGCTGGGTGCATGCACCCTCTAGCAGCCTGGGTGTGTGCTGGGTGCATGCACCCTCTAGCAGCCTGGGTGTGTGCTGGGTGCATGCACCCTCCAGCAGCCTGGGTGCGTGCTGGGTGCATGCACCCTCTAGCAGCCTGGGTGCGTGCTGGGTGCATGCACCCTCCAGCAGCCTGGGTGCGTGCTGGGTGCATGCACCCTCTAGCAGCCTGGGTGCGTGCTGGGTGCATGCACCCTCTAGCAGCCTGGGTGCGTGCTGGGTGCATGCACCCTCTAGCAGCCTGGGTGCGTGCTGGGTGCATGCACCCTCTAGCAGCCTGGGTGCGTGCTGGGTGCATGCACCCTCTAGCAGCCTGGGTGCGTGCTGGGTGCATGCACCCTCTAGCAGCCTGGGTGCGTGCTGGGTGCATGCACCCTCTAGCAGCCTGGGTGTGTGCTGGGTGCATGCACCCTCTAGCAGCCTGGGTGCGTGCTGGGTGCATGCACCCTCTAGCAGCCTGGGTGCGTGCTGGGTGCATGCACCCTCTAGCAGCCTGGGTGTGTGCTGGGTGCATGCACCCTCTAGCAGCCTGGGTGCGTGCTGGGTGCATGCACCCTCTAGCAGCCTGGGTGTGTGCTGGGTGCATGCACCCTCTAGCAGCCTGGGTGTGTGCTGGGTGCATGCACCCTCTAGCAGCCTGGGTGTGTGCTGGGTGCATGCACCCTCTAGCAGCCTGGGTGCGTGCTGGGTGCATGCACCCTCTAGCAGCCTGGGTGCGTGCTGGGTGCATGCACCCTCTAGCAGCCTGGGTGTGTGCTGGGTGCATGCACCCTCTAGCAGCCTGGGTGCGTGCTGGGTGCATGCACCCTCTAGCAGCCTGGGTGTGTGCTGGGTGCATGCACCCTCTAGCAGCCTGGGTGTGTGCTGGGTGCATGCACCCTCTAGCAGCCTGGGTGCGTGCTGGGTGCATGCACCCTCTAGCAGCCTGGGTGTGTGCTGGGTGCATGCACCCTCTAGCAGCCTGGGTGTGTGCTGGGTGCATGCACCCTCTAGCAGCCTGGGTGCGTGCTGGGTGCATGCACCCTCTAGCAGCCTGGGTGCGTGCTGGGTGCATGCACCCTCTAGCAGCCTGGGTGTGTGCTGGGTGCATGCACCCTCTAGCAGCCTGGGTGCGTGCTGGGTGCATGCACCCTCTAGCAGCCTGGGTGTGTGCTGGGTGCATGCACCCTCTAGCAGCCTGGGTGTGTGCTGGGTGCATGCACCCTCTAGCAGCCTGGGTGCGTGCTGGGTGCATGCACCCTCTAGCAGCCTGGGTGTGTGCTGGGTGCATGCACCCTCTAGCAGCCTGGGTGCGTGCTGGGTGCATGCACCCTCTAGCAGCCTGGGTGCGTGCTGCTGCTCCAGGGTCACCAGACGCGCGTGCTGCTGCTCAGTCCTCCCACCTCACCAGACGCCCCAGTGCAGTTACCAACATGCGTGCTGTTGCAGGCTACCCCACGTGGAAGGGGCGGATACTGGATGGGGAGGGGAGCAGAGCAGCTGTGGGCGCTGATAGAGGGGTGAGCGAGGCGCGTGCCTGGCTGGCACGACGGGGCAGATCCTGGTAGGAGAGCAGAGGCGGTGTGGGCAGTGAGAGACGGGTACACCTCATGCGAATCCCACCACGTGCCGATGCATCATGGCCCATGCACCATGGCCCATGCGCCATGACCCATGCATCCCATCCCATTCTCCAGGCTACCCCACGTGGAAGGGGCAGATTCTGGATGGAGAGCAGCTGTGGGCGCTGATAGAGGGCCTGGAGGCCAATGGGCTGCTCTTCTACACGCACCTGCTCACCGATGTGTGCCCCTGGTGTGCATGCTTGTTCACCGTATGGTGGCACTGTGTGTTGGTGGGTCCTGCTGCATGTGTGCACACCTGCACTCATAAAAGGGCCTGGAGGCCAATGGGCTGCTCTTCTACACGCACCTGCTCACCGGTGTGTGCACTTGTTGGTGGCGTGTGTGATGAAAGGAGCATGCATGTTGAGTCGACTCAAAAGAAGCTCAGATCGGTCAACCCCAAGCTGACACTGACGCACCTCATCCCAACCACTCACACCTCAATCTCGGTTGCATAATCAACCTCCCTCTTCTCTCCCCCTCCCATCAGGCTACATCGGGTCGCTCTCCTTCCTGAAAACTGTTCTACGGGTTGTGGAGAAGCTAAGATCAGTCAACCCCAACCTAATATATGGTACTTTCTGGGTTTACCCCAAGCTGATAATGGACGGTTATTTCTTAGTTCACCCTGACTCTAGATACAATACTCCATGGGTTAGCCTTAGCCTGATATATGGTACTTTATGGGGTAACCCCCATTCTGATATACGGTACTTTATGGGGTAACCCCCATTCTGATACATGGTACTGTATTGAGTAACCCCCATTCTGATATATGGTACTTTATAGGGTAAACCCCAATTCTCATAAATGGTATTTTATGGGGTAACCCCCATCCTGATAAACGGTACTTTATGGGGTAACCCCCATTCTGATACATGGTACTGTATGGTATGGAGTAAACCCCATTCTGATATATGGTACTTTATGGGGTAATCCCCATGCTGATACATGGTAATTTATGGAGTAACCCTCATTCTGATATATGGTATTTTATGGGGTAACCCCCATTCTGATACATGGTACTTTATGGGGTAACCCGATTCTCATATCTGGTACTTTATGGGGTAACCCCCATTTTGATACATGGTACTTTATGGTCCTCCTGTCCCCATCTGTCTCGTCTTTACCCCCGGTCCTCTCCTGTCCCCAGTTCTTTACACTTTCTCCTTATTCTTCTTGCGTCTCACCTCTCTTGGTGTGTTTTGAAGTGCAATCTTGGTGTGATGTGATCCCGCAATCTTCTCCTCCCTATGTGCGGTCTAGTCATGCTGCTGCTGCTTTTCTCGCATCTACCCATCTCTCTGCCCGTCCTCCGCTTGTCTCACATCCCCACATCGATCCGAATGGGCTTGTCTCACAAAGGCTGCCTCCATCCGCATCGCTGCTTTCCCTTTCCATCTCTCTCCATACCACCTCTCTTCTCCTCACCGTAATGGACCTCTCAAAGGCCTGCTGCCTGCTCCCCTCTCTCCCCCTCACCCATTCTCTGCCTCCCATCCCTCTCCAGTTTCCTTCCTCGCCCCAATCTCTCTCCCCCAATGTCTCCTCCCCATCCCTTCTCTCCCCGTCACAGTGTGCGATCCAGTGATGGGGGACGACGGTCGTCTCTACATTCGCCCCGAGCTCGTCCCCATCTACCGCCACCAGGTGCCACCTCCTCTTGCCGTAAGCGTGTTCTGCGAGGTCTCACAAAACCGCCAGCAGGTGCCACTCACACCTGTTCCTTTGAGAGCCACATCCACGTGTTCACATCCACGTGTTCACATCCACGTGTTCACATCCACGTGTTCACATCCACGTGTTCACATCCACGTGCCACCTCCTCTCGCTGTATTGTGTTCTGTCTGAAAGGAACCGACAGCAGGTGTCGTGTCGTGACATCCACGCCTGCCCTATTCATGCCTTGAAAGTGCTATGCAAATTCTCAGAAACGCCTGCAGTTGCCATCTGTCTCACAGAACTGACACCAGGTGCCATGCCATTCGCACCAGCCCTGTTCATGCTGTGAGTTTGATTTGAGAATACAAAAAAAAAAAAACCAACGCATCAAGTGCCCTTGACACCTGCCCTGCACACCTGCCCTACACACCTGCCCTCTATGCGTCTCTCTGTGATGAATCTAACTACCCTATTGTTGGGTGTGCGCCTTCCCTCAACGCGGCATCCATCTAGCAGCTGACAGACAGACAACCAATCTCTCAACATCTGTGTATCGTTCTGGGCTCTCATCCCCGTTGCTCAGTGCGTGCTGCTGTGCTGCATGGCAGGTGGTCCCAGTGGCGACGCTCATCACGCCAAACCAATTCGAAGCAGAGCAGCTCACAGGCCTCAGGTGAATGGCTCGGTACTCTACCAGGTTCCTACTTAGCAACTTGTTCTTTGCATTATGTTGCGCTCAGGTTTGAAGTAGATTGGTGCGATGAGAGTCTCTCAACTTCTTTGAGGTACAGCAAATCACAGGCCTCACAACCCTGAGCAGGTCTTAACTCAAAGGCTTCAGGTGAATTGATATGCTCTTGCTACCTGCTCCTCTCCTCGCCTTGTTCTCCTTACCTTGCTGAGAATCATAAATGTCGATATTGATGACTCAAAAAGCATATCTGATCCGGCATTTGTTTTGCCGTGCTGTGCTGTGCCGTGCCGTGCCGTGCCGTGCCGTGCCGTGCCGTGCCGTGCCGTGCCGTGCCGTGCCGTGCCGTGCTGTGCTGTGCTGTGCTGTGCTGTGACCTGCATCCAATCACAGACTTCAATCTATAGGTGCCACAACACTCGCCCACTCACTAACCAAACTCCCTGCACACGTGGCGTTTAGGCATTGCCAGTCCAAACTCACTGCTTCCCTCCCCCCCTCCCTCCCAGCGGCCAAACTAAGCAGCTGCCATCACTGCATGAGACATGCTGCATGTTGCAGGGCCCAGGAAGGTGAATGTGCATGGCATTGCCACAGGGGGGAGCGAATGTAGAATTGCTGATACTGGCACTGTTGAGGCGCCTCAAAAGTCTGATACAAGCACTGCATGTGCACCCCTTCTCCCCTCCATTTCCATCCTCCCCTGCCTCCTTCCCTCCCTCGCAGCATCCGGACTCAAGCAGACGCCATCACTGCATGTGACATGCTGCACGCAGCAGGGCCCAGAAAGGTATGGATGGCTACAGGGGAGGAAGAACAGTGGGTAGGTAGGTGAGGGGGACTTTTGAGACGTCTCAAAAGTCGTCTACTTACACACGTAGGTAGGTGAGGGGGACTTTCTGGAATCTCTTTAGTGGTTCGAACAAACGTGTGGCAGTGGATTAGCATGATGCTTGATGCTGCAGGGCTTAGAAAGGTATGCGTGGCTACAGGGGAGGAAGGACAGTGGTCTAGGGAGTTTCGGGGATTTCAAAAGTGTTTTGAATGCAAGTATGATAACGGTGTGGATGGGTATGATGTTGCCCGCTGTATGGCCCAGAAAGGTATCGCATTGAGTCGGTTCAGATCATCTAAGCTTATTAGGGGGGTGGGGTTGGGGGAAGGAGGAGGGGGAGGGGGGAAGGGGGGGAGGGGAGAGGGAGAGAAAAGACAGCCCTGCTGAGGATGGCATGGTGGGCGTGCTGACGTCATGGTTTGCTTGCTGGCGTTCCGTTGCTGCTGCGAGAGGGGAAGGACAATCCACGAGTTTTCCGGCCGAATTGATTTACCAGCAACGGCTGAATTGATTTACCCAGTAACAACTCCTCACGATCCATGAGGTGGTGATGGTAAGGCATGCGGATGAAGGAGCAGGAGGGTGAAGAAACGCCTCTTTCAACTCCTCTCAACCACTGTCACACACCCCACAACACTCCTATCAGGTGATGGCCGGCTGCTGGTGGTGGAGGGGTGATGTCCCACGAAGCACTCTTGCCTCTCTAGAACCTGCTCAACCCCTTTCAACCTCTTTCAATCACATTGATTTATTGTGGACACCACACAACAAGCTGATCAGGTGGTGCTCACGAGCACTGAGGTAAATGGCCAGCTGGTGGTGGTGGAGGGGAGTGTGCCTTGATAAGTAGCGCATCTCTCAAGCCCACTCCACTGCATTCAACCACTTTCAACCGCTCTCATCTACTGGTGATCATTAGCAACGCTCCCAGCTGGTGATGGCGGAGGGGATTGGTTTTGCATGGGCAAGGCCCTCTCTTAAACCTGCTCCATCCCTTTCAACCGCTTTCAACCACTCCGTTCAGGTGGTGATCACAAGCATGGAGGTGGATGGGCGGCTGCTGGTAGTGGGGAGTGACGCCAGCAGCCCTGCTGGAGAGGAGGTGAGTGAGGTGAGGCGGCATGAGGGTATCTGTCTGGTGGTGGAGGTGTGCTTTGAGTCACCAGGTGTCCAACCACTCAATCACATCTGCTTGGCGTGACGCCAGCAGCCATGCTGCAGAGCAGGTGAGTGAGAAGGCATGGGGAGCTGGTGGTAGGTGAGAGGAAGTGAGTGAGAGGAAATGAGTGAGAGGCAGTGAGTGAGAGGAAATGAGTGAGAGGAAGTGAGTGAGAGGAAATGAGTGAGAGGAAGTGAGTGAGAGGAAATGAGTGAGAGGAAGTGAGTGAGAGGAAATGAGTGAGAGGAAGTGAGTGAGAGGAAATGAGTGAGAGGAGGTGAGTGAGAGGAAATGAGTGAGAGGAGGTGAGTGAGAGGAAATGAGTGAGAGGAGGTGAGTGAGAGGAAGAGGAGTGTCTTTCTGGTAGTTGGGGTGCGTTTCGAGTCGACTCAGAGAAGTGGTGCCAGCAGCCCTGCTGCAGAGCAGGAGAGAGATATGGGCCCCCTTGTCTTGACAATGGAAAGCAGATATCTGTTTTGCTTCAATTTCTTTCTATCACTCATTATCCTCTTTGTTTGCACCAGCCATTGCCACCCTCACATACACTACCCTATCTTACTCCCTTTCCAATTCTGACATTCTGGCCGGCATTTGAACAAACACTCTATTCAGGAGGGCTCTGAACAGCGTTCTTTGCAGCGGTTCTGCATCGCAGTGCCCAAGATACCACACTACTTTACTGTATGGCGCTCCATTAATAGCTTTGAAGCAGCACGTGGCACATGGTTATGCAATCTGTCTCACACTTTCTGTGCCTCTTACCATGTCCCGTGTCCCACACAGCACCAGCTTTACAACATCACATATCACCAGCCTTACAACATCACATATCACCAGCCTTACATCATCACATATCACCAGCCTTACATCATCACACATCACCAGCCTTACAACATCACATATCACCAGCCTTACATCATCACATATCACCAGCCTTACATCATCACATATCACCAGCCTTACATCATCACATATCACCAGCCTTACATCATCACATATCACCAGCCTTACATCATCACACATCACGCATCACCAGCCTCACAACATGCCATTTTCACATGGATTTCGACGTGCTACTCCGCATGCCATTGCATATACCACACCAAATGCCATCTGACATACCATATCACATGCCATTGCATATACCACACCACATGCCATTTGACATACTACCATGTCACATGCCTGACATATCCCATCCAACGTACCATACCACATGCCATCCCACGTGAACGGCACACGTGCAGGGAACGGGAGATTTGATGACCGCATTGCTGCTTGGATGGTCACATGTGAGTGGGGCAGTGGCATGTGAGTGGGGCAGTGGCATGGCAGGAGTCTCATTGCATCGCAATCCTTCATCAGTCTTCTGGTGACATCTCTCAGCTCTGTTACACAGCACTCTGGTGCTTACATAGCACTCTGATGCTTACATAGCACTCTACTGCTTACACAGCACTCTGCTGCTTACACAGCACTCTGCTGCTTACATAGCACTCTGCTGCTTACACAGCACTCTGCTGCTTACATAGCACTCTGCTGCTTACACAGCACTCTGCTGCTTACACAGCACTCTGCTGCTTACATAGCACTCTGCTGCTCACATAGCACTCTGCTGCTTACATAGCACTCTGCTGCTCACATAGCACTCTGCTGCTTACATAGCACTCTGCTGCTGACATAGCACTCTGCTGCTTACACAGCACTCTGCTGCTTACATAGCACTCTGCTGCTTACAGAGCACTCTGCTGCTTACATAGCACTCTGCTGCTTACACAGCACTCTGCTGCTTACACAGCACTCTGCTGCTTACACAGCACTCTGCTGCTTACATAGCACTCTGCTGCTTACACAGCACTCTGCTGCTTACATAGCACTCTGCTGCTTACACAGCACTCTGCTGCTTACAGAGCACTCTGCTGCTCACATAGCACTCTGCTGCTTACATAGCACTCTGCTGCTTACATAGCACTCTGCTGCTTGCATAGCACTCTGCTGCTTACATAGCACTCTGCTGCTTACATAGCACTCTGCTGCTTACACAGCACTCTGCTGCTTACACAGCACTCTGCTGCTTACATAGCACTCTGCTGCTTACATAGCACTCTGCTGCTTACATAGCACTCTGCTGCTTACATAGCACTCTGCTGCTTACACAGCACTCTGCTGCTTACATAGCACTCTGCTGCTTACAGAGCACTCTGCTGCTTACACAGCACTCTGCTGCTTACATAGCACTCTGCTGCTTACATAGCACTCTGCTGCTTACATAGCACTCTGCTGCTTACATAGCACTCTGCTGCTTACATAGCACTCTGCTGCTTACATATCACTCTGCTGCTTACACAGCACTCTGCTGCTTACAGAGCACTCTGCTGCTCACATAGCACTCTGCTGCTTACATAGCACTCTGCTGCTTACATAGCACTCTGCTGCTTACATAGCACTCTGCTGCTTACATCGCCCTCTACTAGTTAAAACCCACTCTGCTGTTCATTCTTCCTGCTCTACCCATCCCATCCTCTCCCTCCCTCTCTCCCTCCCTCCCTCCCTCCCTCCCTCCCTCCCTCCTCCCTTCCTCCCTCCTTCAACAGAAGTATCCGCACGACTTGGCTAGAGCAGCGGAACTAGCAGTGGCATCTCTGCAGGTGAGCAGCTGCTGTTGCGCCTAGTGCCACTGCTTGATGCTGCTCTGCTGTGGTTTTTACACTCGTTTAGCTGTTCTGTTGCAGCAGCAGAGGTGGCAGTGGCATTGTTACAGGAGGTGAGCACCTGCTGCTGGTCCTGATGCAATTGGGTGTTGCCGCTGGGCTGTCCATGGCTTTGAGGCAAGCTATATCAGCAGAGTTGGCATTGGCAACCCGTGGCATTGCAACCTTCCTGACCTGATTGCTCCTCTCCTCCCATTCTTTCTCCCTACAGGCTGTGCTCGCACGAACCCTGCAGCACCACTCTCCACCTCCGGACGGCACCGTTTCCTCTCTCACTCCCCCCACCCCCAAGCGCCTGGAGCTCTGCCTCATTCAGAGCCGCGATAACTTCAGCTTCTCCTCTCCCCCTCTCCCTCCCTGCAGGCTGTGCTCGCACGAACCTTGCAGCACCGCTCTCCACCTCTGGACGGCACCGAGTCCTCTCCCACTCCCCCCACTCCCAAGCGCCTGGAGCTCTGCCTCGTTCAGAGCCGTGACGACATTATAAGCCCGCCTGTTGTGTTACGTGCACAAGCGGTTGAAAGCGGTGTAGATGGTTTAGATGGATTGCAAGATGGTGAAAGTGCCTTGGTGAGCGGTGACAGTGTAGGGGTGCTGCAGGATAAGGGAGTTGATGCTCAGCTGACAACTGAGAGCTGAGTTGAATGTACTGTAAAAAGAGAACGCTCAACTGTTTTTGGCCGGGTGAGGCACTTTCCTGAGCACAATTAACACCAAGAAAAGGACCAGGCGGAAATCGAACCAACAAGGTGTTGCACATCAGTATTTGAATGAGAGAGTTATGCTATTGGTCCTGTGTTGAATGGAATTTGTTGTGTATTATTGTATTTGACAACGACGTGATTTTCAAGGTTGGACGTACTGAGCTCTCTTGTCAAGCATCATGGAGGACGCAGAGCCGCTGCGCGCGCTCTCCGCCCACATCGCGTAAAAACGGACCAGGCGGGTATCGCCCTTACTTAGTTTCCCTCAGCTTTCCGCTCTATCGCCGCGTTCCTTCCGTCCCTAGTCCCTCCCCGCGCTGCGCGCGCTCTCCGTCCACAGCGCGTGACGCGGACCGTACTTGTCTCCCGCCGAGTAGCCATGCAGGACGCAGAGGCGCGCCGCTCTCGCCTGCGCAGCATGCGCGAGTCCGCGGCGAAGCAGCAGGCGGCGTCCCCCGGCGCGCCCACGCCTTCCACCGCCATCTCCGCACTCCCCTCCCCCGACTTCTCTCCGCCGCTTATCCGCACGCATCCGCGCGTGCGCCATCCGGGGAAGGCGGACCTGGGGGAGGTAGATCTGCTAGACGGCCAGCAGGAGCAGCCACCACAGGCTCGGGGAATTTCTCACAGGCCTCATGTAAATATCTTCAAAGCTCTAGCGTGTTTGTCTTAAAGCCCTATCATTCTCAGCTTCCGAGGTACCTGATCTACCCTACTCCCCAGCACCACGAGTGTCAAGTGCTGCCGTTTATGACTCCCAAGGGGCCGGGCAGGGGGCAGGGCAAGGGGTAGGGCAAGGGGCAGGGCAAGGGACAGGGCAAGGGGGAGAGCAAGGGGGAGAACAAGGGGCAGAGGGGTCAGGGGAGGGGAGACCGGCCAGCGTGGACAGACAGTCAGTGAGGCAAGCGGTTGCGAGGGAGGGAGCCGTGCAAGAGGAAGTTTTTGACAATCTTTCCATGGTGCAGGTGAGCGGGGCGAAGAGAGAGAGAAGACAGGGGGGGGGGTCTATTGTGCAGGTGTTTGTGAGAGGGGCGATTGAGAGGCGTCCGCACAAGAGGGAGTCGGCGACGTTCCTTACAAGGAGTAGGTGGGAAAGAAGCATATGAGATATGTGACAAACATCCGCTCTTGCCTGACAAGGACCTCATGTTAGGGAGCTGGTGGCGTTCATTACCAGGACCGTAATGAAGCATCTGAGATATGTGACAAACATCCGCTCTTGTGCTACTTAGGACCGTACTTCAAGGACCTTATATTTCTTCATTTGCTTACGATCCCTCTTGTTTCTTCCCGCCCCATATTTCTTCATTTTCCACCCTCTGCTTACACTTCCTCTATTGCTCGCCAACGCTCACATTCCATCCAGTTGTTCTCGAATCCACACCCAGGCATTCATGACTGCATCTCTCGCTTTCCCTCGTTTCTCCCCTCTTCTCACCCTTGCATTTCTCGCAACCCTCCCCCATTCTCTCCTATTTCTCTGCTCTTTCCCCCATCCTCCCCTCTCCCATTCTGCCTCTGCCCCAACCCAGCCACTCATCGCCGCCGCCCACAGTGCCGGGAGCAGAGGGGCCGCAGTGAGCGAGGATTCAGGAGGAGCGGTTACCACGAACGTGGAGGAGAGGCA